CGAGTCCGAAGAGCAGGAGACAGTGGACCTCAGACCACAGTGATGGTAACTGCAGTACAAGGACAATTGACAGTTGCAGTTTGATTTGTGTGATGTAATAGAGTGTTATGGTAGCGCCAATGTGTGGCGAGGCCACAATGTGTATATGTCTAATACTGGGCATAAATTACTAATCCTATGTTGCAGTCATAGGATTGGTAATTCTGATTATTGGTGTCTGACCTGGGATCGGGTTCTTTGGAACACAGGACCGGGTGGTTGGACAGCGACCCCCAGGGTGGGTAGTGTTGGGATTAAATAATTTGCAGTGCCTCAATAATGCTATGCTTTTTATTAATAAGTGTTATAAAGTTATATATTGTAGTATTAAGTGGACACAGCCCTGAAAAATAAAGGCATTAGACCATGTGCCCTTGGGGAGTAGAAAGCTGTAGACTCTTGCTCACGCTTGCCTGAGAAAATGTAGATAAGAGGGGACCATCTCTAGTGGAAAGTTGCTGAGACACTGTTGTTTAGACTAGAATGAGAGAGCGTCTGTTATAAAACTGTTAGGAGCACACCACCATTTTGGGCACACCACCATCAGATGCCTCTGAGGAATCAAAAGAACTCGGTGAAGTGTTGATATTTACAGTAGCCTTTCATTGACTAGTTGAGGATGCTGTCCACCAAAATGACAGAAGACTCTGGCATAAATAATCCCTGGGATGACTGGTTTAGTAATCATTTTGGTAAGTATAAGGCTATAGTGGTGTCTTTGTTGATGTCCATAGCCACATTTGTTGCCATACTTACATGTTGTGGCTGTTGTTTCATCCCGTGCCTTTGCACCCTAGTGCAGAGGTTGATCACAACTCCGCTGACAAAAGAGGATGAGTCTCCTAAGTTTCAAGTAGGGATGGGTACCGGTAATGGCATCAGCTCTGACATAAAAGGTAGTAACCAGACCGAAAAGCAGCGCACATTTCGGTGCTTTATTTCTGTGCTTTATTTTCCTGAGATGTCATACACTTTGGATTCTAGCCAATCATTTTACCTTTCCGAGGATAGTAGGTGGGCCCAGATACGTACGTTCTTTTAGAGCAGAGCTACAGATTAAAAATGTCCAAGGTAAAGCAGTCAAAGTCTGACTGTACTTCACAGCAAAAGTTGCAAACTCAGCAGCCTGCAACAAGAGCTTTAAGGTGATTGTTACATCCTGTGAGGCTGTGGGAGTGTGTGGGTGGGGTGTTTGCCGGCTCTCTCCACCTCCTCCTCTCTTGCCACTCCTACCCCGTCTGTCTCTCTCACTCTCCTCTCTCCCCAGGACACAGCTGCTCTTGATTAGCCTCATTTGCCACCTGAATCCAGTCAGCAATCAGCTCTGAGGCTATTTAAGCTGGGGACGAGCTGTGAGCAGGGTGGTTTTTCCCTTCTGTGGCCATACGTGTTTTTCTGCTGGGTTTTGGACAGACAGCCTCCTTGTTGTTTGTAATAAAACTATATTATTACAGAACAACTCTGTCTGTTTTCCTTTTCATTCTGTTTCCGGACTCATTTGTTACTGGTCCCCTCACTCACATGCCTAGACCCCTTCAGGGGGAACGTAACAGTGATACTGTGCAAAGGAGGTAACTCCTCGAATCTGATCAAACACCTGGCGACGTATAGCATTTTGTTAAAAGCCGAGAAATGCGCCGTATTTGATAGCTTGCTGCAAGACCTCACACCGTGCACATCTACTGTGGGTGGTTTGCCTGTTATCGGACCCGGAGTTAGCAACATCCCCCAAAAACCCAAAGAGGAGAGTCCTGGCCCCTAGCCCTGCCAGTAATGAACTGTTGCTGAGAGACAAATAACACCTCTGTAGCTTACAGCTGGTAACTGTGCAGGGGTGGGTCTAGCAAAGTTTTCTCAGGGGGGCCAGGTAGAGCATTAACAGGAAAAGGGGGACACAAACAAAATACCCTTCTTTCTTATTCTTATTTAAAATGTCTAGCTTTTAACGAATAATTATCTGAATCTTACAACCAATGTTTTCATCTGATGTAAAATGTATAGAAATCCATTATTGTACATAGTAATTTTTTTTCAGGGTTCCATCATAATTTCCTCAGAAATAAGTACTGTATATGATGCCAGTATTTCCCACATTTTCTAGATTCTGTACCAGTACTGTGTAGGGATGGGTATCGTTTAGGTTTTATCCGATACCAGTACCAAACCGGTACTTTTGATGTTCAGCTGTTTTTTTTGTAAAAAGATAACAATGTTAGCCTTTTCTGCAGCTA